ATATGGAGAGAAAGTAAAGAAGAAAAATTAGTTCTAGGACTAAAGGGACCAAGCACTTGACTTCTAATAGGGTTCAGTGAAAAACAATAGCCACAGCTTCCAAGTTCTCTGAATAGTAAAATATTATCCACTCACATCTCAGATTTGATTTTCTTTTCAGAATAAAATTAATGGGTAGAATTTGAATTTTGAAAACAATAATTTATGTTCTCTTTGAAAATGCACAAATGCTTACAAGACATGACTCTTCAAGAACCAATTCCAAATAAAGTAAAATCTTGATCCAGCAGATTTTCCTCATATTTCTACATTTCCCTTCCATCGTTCTTCTCTTATGCATCCTTCTCCCAACCCCACAATAGCATCTACCCCACCCCCTCACCTGAATCCTACATACACAGTCAAAGATCTTTGGGGAATTGAAATTTAAAGTTGAAAGCCGTAAGGCATAGATTTTCTTAGTTTAAGAGTCTAACCCTATGATTCTAAGAATCAATAAAGACAAGTGAAAAGAAGAAATGTGAATAAAACAAAACCTGAGTTTTAGGAGCAAGGCCTATTGTTGGTAGCAAGCTACTATTTTAACAGTCTCTGAAAGGTGCAATATACTTGTCAAGACATTTAGAAGTAACCTGGCTATTTCAACCATACCAACTAGTCTATTCACATTAAGTAATTATAGACTAGGAAATAAAAAGTAAAAAGACATTAACGAATATAAAATATGTATGCATCATGAACTTAATTTGGAATTCTTTGTGTTTCATGCAAAGTGGGAAGGTCAAAGAAAAAATTGCGTGGAGGTGTAAGAACTGAAAAGAACTTCAAGTTAGAAAAAGACATCAACTGCAATTATATTCATATGCCCTATTTAGAAAAAAAGCACTCTGAAGCCATCCCACAGTGTGAAAACAAAGGTATTTATTGACTTCGTTTTTTATCTTTGCTGTAATTAGTTACGCTTCAGAACGTACTTTTTAGAGTGCTTGGAACTTTCAACACACGAAAGAATCATGCCCTACCAAGAGACCATATCGAAGGCAGATTCCAAAGAGTAAGAATGTGCCTGTTTCTGGATCCGGAGACTTGAATTAATTTAAAAATGACCTCCCTTCTCTACCTTTCATCTGGAAAACGAGTCCATAGCAAGGAAGGAGGCTGCTGGAGGAGATGATAGAGAACCTGACAACTGATTTATCAAGCTATAAGGAAATGTGGAAGAGAATGACAGAAGAGGGGAGAGAAAGAGGAGGTAGGGAGAGGGAAAGAGGAGAGGGAAAAGATAAGATATGAGAGGAGAGAGGAAGAGAGGAGAGATGGAGGAAAGTGGAGGGGGAGAGAGGAAAGTAGAGAGGAGGGGTTAGGGAGGGAAGTGGAAAGGGCAGGGGAGAAGGGGAGAGGGAGGGAACTAGAAAGGGAGACAGAGGGGGAAGTGGAGAGGAGGGAAGAGGGAGAAAAGTGGAGGGGGAGAGAGGGAGAGAAGTGGATGGGAGAGGGAGGGAAGTAAAGAGGGGTAGAGGGAAGAAAATAGAGAAAAAGGGAGAGGAGGGGAGAGTGAGGGAAGTGGAGGGGAGAAGAGAGAAGTAAGTGAAGGACAGGAGAGAGAAGGGAAGTGGAGAGGAGGAAAGTAGAGGGAGAAAGAAGAAAGTTAAGGAGAGGAGAGAGAAGGAAAGTGGAGGGAAGGAGAGAGAGAAGGATGTGGAGGAAAGAAAAGAGGGGAACGTGGAAGGGGAGAGAAGGAAGAAGGTGGAGGGGAGAGGAGGAGGGAAGTGAAGGATAAGGACAAAGAAGGCTACCTAAGATTACTTGCAACTTGGTGCTATTTAAAATTTCTTCCATCTTCCATTACTTCAAAATAAGCTAACAAAATTTTTTTAAAAGGAATGAAAGGAAACAATTCTGAAAGGAAGGGGCAGTTACTGCTTGATTGTTGAGTTAGCATCCACCAAGTCTGCCTCTCCTGAGGCATGTTCAAGTGTCTTAAATGTTACAAACTGAACTTTTATTGCCTCTTGGCTGAAGCAGTCTCTTAATGATCATGAGTGAGGTATCCCAGAAGCAGAAAGACACACATGGTATAAACTCACTTATAAATGGGTGTTAGACATATAATATAGGATAATCATACTAAAATCTGTATGACTAAGAAAGCTAATTAAGAAAGAGGACTCTGGTAAGATGCTCAATCTTACCAATTCAGAAAGGCAAAAAGGATGGACATCAGCAGAAGGAGAAAATAGGAAACAGGACAGGAGCCTATCACAGAGGGCCTCTGAAAAACTCTGCCCAGCAGGGTATCAAAACATATGCTGAGATGCATAGCCAAACTTTTTGCAGAGTGCAGGGAATCTTATGAAAGAAGGGGGAGATAGAAGGACCTGGAGGGAACAAGAGCTCCACAAGGAGAGCAACAGAGCCAAAAAATCTGGGCACAGGGGTCTTTTCTGAGACTGATACTCCAAACAAGGACCATGCATGGAGATAACTTAGAACCCCTGCACGGAAGTAGCCCATGGCAGCTCAGTGTCCAAGAGGGTTCCCCAATACTAGGAACAGGATCTGTCTCTGACATGAACTCATGGGCTGGCTCTTTGATCACCTCCATCTGAGGGGGGAGCAGCCTTACCAGTCCACAGAGGAAGACAAAGAAGCCAGTCCTGATGAGACTTGATAGACTAGATTCAGATGGAAGGGGAGGAGGATCTCCCCTATCATTGGACTGGGGGAAGGGCATAGGAGAAGAAGAGGGACAGAGGATGGGATTGGGAGGGGAGGGAGCTACAGCTGGTATACAAAGTGAATGAACTGTAATTAATAAAAATAAAATGAAAACTTTAAAAAGGAGGGGAGATTGTCAGAGAAGTATCCACATAATTTTGACTCACTAATTTAGATACGAACAGAATCTCAATCCCAAGACTTGGGAGAAGAAAGAATTAAAATGCACACTCAAAGAAATAAAGAGATGGTGAGACTAACCTGAAACCCAGGGAGGGGCCTTGGATTCATATTTACAGTGTTATTGGGAAAAGCCAGCTGCCATTTCCTTTTCAAATGGAAGGAAAATGAATTTTGTCTCCCTGAGCGAATGACTCCGTTTTAACAGACCCAAGCCAGGGGCACCATGCTCACAGCTTTCTCTGCCCCTTCTGAGGAGTTACCAAGTGCAGTGTGACAAAGATAATGAAGCCAAAAAATGGCTAGCAGTCTGCAGCACTCACCTAAATAGCATGCATTTGGTGTCTGTTTTCCCATCAGCCTTTTCTGTCAAGACCATTAAGGAAAAGACGAACGCATGTAATCAGCCTTTCTGTTTTATCTTCCTCTTTAAGTAAACAAGTGTGGTCATAGTAGGGACATGCTTCATTTTACCACAAAGGGCTGTTCGAGGGGTGTGCTGCTTTCAGGAAAGCACATGCCTCCTTTATACCCCCAACAAACAAGAGGGAAAGGAAAGCGGTATCAAGCACACCCAGGATGCTGATTCCCAGGCACTCTACTCTTTGCTTGCAAAAATATTTAAAGAAAAATAATCCCTGCAAGAGACTTAACTGAAGCAATAACGTTATTTTTCAAACAGTTAAAGAAAACTTTGAAGACAATGTAATTTCTTTCTTTCTTTCTTTCTTTCTTTCTTTCTTTCTTTCTTTCTTTCTTTCTTCTTTCTTTTTCTTTTTTCTTTAATTTTTTTTTCAGCCCAGGTCCATTTTCTACTGCTTATACAAAAACACCTTTCCTGTAAAAAGGTCATTTCTTCTCCAATCTAAATTCTGTCTTTTCTAAGAAAGTGTACTTTTTGAAATGAGGCTTTTCTTCTTTCTTTCTTTTACTTTTCTATTTCTTCCTTTTTTTTTTTTTTTTTTTTTTTGCATTGGATTCCACATTAGTTTTCATTTTTGCCTTTACCGTTTTTAAAACCCATCAGTCAGTCTTTTTCTTAAGAGAATCAGTACAATCAAGCTATGGTACACTGGCTTTGGTAGCAAAAGAGAAAAAAAAATCCAATAGTTTAAAGATTGAACTCATTTTTCATGAGGCACAAGCCATGAAAAATGTGATCAAAATGAAGTTGACATCGTGCGATTCTAAGTTATTTCACCGGAGAGAAACACAAGGGGTGATGTTCATCTGACCTCCCATTTCTTCCTTTTTTATCTGTGTGGATTCTATGAACCTGCTGCCAGATTAGAGCAGAAAGTGATCTAGAAGTTCATGCACCAATTTTGCTTACCAAAATGTGCCTATTACCTTTATGGCCGTGTACGTTAAGTTGGTTCTTGTTGTCATTGTTATTGTTGTTTATTTTGTCAAGTTCACGTGCTGTCTCCTTCGTGTCGTGCTATTGGAAACCTTCCCTATTGAATGTCTGAACTTCAGAATAAATTTATTGTCAGCCAACTAATTTTCCTAGTTTGCAGAAAATAGGTGGATGGAGCCAGCTTTATAAACCCAAATTGAATTTCCTCCCATTGTGCTCACTCCTGTGGGTCTCGGTAGCCTGCTCAACACCATCACCTTCATACTTCACCCACCGTGATGAAACAGAGCCATAGAGAGCAGGATGATGTAACAGCGCTCAGCTGGGCACTAACTAGCTGGGCAAGCCTCCATACTTTTTCAGGCCTTGCCTGGCGCTTCTGTAAAGAAAAAGGCTGAACTGGATGGATCTGTTGCCCTCTGAGACCAAATCCCCGTATTACCAACGTGACAGTGGTTCTAAAAGTAAATTCCCACTTACCAATGAGGGTGTGTCAAGTCCCTCAGGCTGTGGTCAGCTTTTGTCTACACAAACGTAATGCGACCCTACGTTGCCTGTTCACTGTGACTGAGAGTAATGTTCTCTGCTGAAACAGCAGCCGGTATTTGCTGAAATTCATCCTCTCATTAGTGACCCCATTTCTAAAGTCACCAAACAGAGGAGATTTCTGTTTAGAAATTTGGGAGGCTAAAACTCCAGGTCTGCGACCCATTTGTCACCGTGTCAGGAAAGTTCACAGTACCTAAAATGGCCACCACCTCGTCATCCTGGATAACTTCCAAGGACCCCGACACCACAAAGCACAGGGCATCCACACTCTCTCCAGCGTGGTAAATCAGGTCCCCAGGAGCACAGTGAATAGTTTGGAACTCCACTGCCAAGGCACGCAGACATCCATCACTGGCCAATCGAAATGCGGGATGTTCATTAAAAACCTTCCGGTTCAGATGCACACAGATGTCAGCTCTCATGTCCTTGGGACAGATGGAGAGAACCTGAAAAGAGTGAAAAGTGAGTAAGTGAGCAGGAAAGAAAAAAGGGTCTAGTTCAGAAATTAAAAAAAAAAAAAAAAGCCACACAACAAATATTTACTGACCACTATTATGTCTGCTAGACAAGGTGCCAAGGGCCTGGAAGGCAAAGTTAGACACAGGCCTGTACTCGAAAAACCTGGGGTCTGGTGAGATGCACAGATGTCACATCACAACACAGCCCATGTCACAGCAAGGGACCATTCAGTCAACACTTGTGGAACGTTTCCCTATTACAATAGTAGTTTTTGAGTGACAGTTGGGGAGAATCTTGGGCAAAAAAGTTATAGTTGTGCCTGAAAACATATGCATGCAAGTAACATTATATAGACTTTGCAGATTAAAATTGCTTATTTAGGAATACATATGTGCCTATGTACACATATTATATCTATCATATATGTATATGACATATTTATCAACAGTTACAGAAAGTGAGGCCAGGAATTTGGGAGAGAGTAGTGGGTGACATGAAAGGGTCTGAAGAGCTGGAGGGACAAATGATGTAATTACACTATAATCTCAAGACCTGAATTTTAAAAATAAGTAAATAAAAATAAAAACTAAAGTTAATATCCTTAAAGCCAATTAGCGTGAAATATTAGCATTTGTATCAATCCAACCAATGTTTCAAAATTATTTTATAACTACACAAGAATGAATAATATTATGTTAGTACAGACAGGAAGTAGATACGTATTAGCTGACCATAAGAAAATTAAATCAACACAAGCAGTGCAGCAACTCGTTATTCTGTAAGCTAATGTAAGCCCATTCTCACTATTTCTCCAGTCTGAAAGATTTTCCTCTATAAATTAATGAATGCCCAGGCAGAAAAAAAGAGTTTGCATAAGCCCTCTCTGGGGCACAGGCAACTGAACATATCTCTAAGCAGGACGGACAGTCTTGTGATGCAATTTCATTACAGGTTGGCTAGGTTTGGGTACCGGGGAGGGGAGCAAAATTCAAGCTCAAGGTTCCCCTTAGGAGGGATGAATGGCAGAGCATGCTGGGAAAGCAAGGTGTAGGGAGCTTTCATTAACTGTAGGTTTCATAGTAGCATTTAAAAACCTCTGTTACAATGGATATTATGATCCCTTTTTAGATTTTGTTTTTACTCATTTACAGATTCATGCACTCAGTTTATGGCTTTTAGTTGTTTTCATCCCCTCCTTTTCTTGCTGAAATCCTTCTGTGCAAAAAGTGCCCGCCAACTTTCAGGTTAGGGTGCAATGAGTTTTGGAGGGTTGCCTGTATGAGTATGGGTGGGAGGGTATGGACTGGAGCCTGTGCAGCTTATCAGTGTCTACAACACTGAAGAAAATGGCATCCCTTCACCACCTCGAGGATTAACTGTCAATGGCTGTCAATGGTATCTCAGCGAGAGGCAGGGCTATCATATCTAAGCAAAGAATCAAAGAAGGCAGGCTGCCCACCTTGAAGGTACGTGTGAAGGTTCTTTCCCTCTACCCCCTTGATAAACCAATTTTAATACAATATTATTTGGTGGGATTTCTCTCAGTCTTCCAAAGATAAAACTAAGTTGCTTTTCCCATTCAACTACAATGAATAATAGTTAATGTAGAATAGTTCTCTTTCTTTTCTTAATTATGCTCTAGCTATAGATCCCTGCCCTCCCCCAATGCTGGAAATAACCCGACTTGTCTTTTTATTTGTGTCTTACCATAAATGTAACACTGGTTGCTTCTCTGCAGGGTTGATCCATCATCACACAATGCAATTAATTATGCTTCCTGGATTCTTTCTCTTTATGTTTCCTGAGTCTACATTTTATTTCACATCACAATCATCTCCAAGGGATTTATTTTGATAATCTTCCAGATTCCTACAGAACACAGCCATCGACTCATCCACCTTTCTGAAATGTCTCCTCTTTGAAGAAAGGAATGCCCTAATGGAGCTTAAAAAGCAGGTGGTACTTCCCCCACGATAGCAATTTCCAACGATGATAATCAATATATCTGCCTTTAGTGGGTTTAGATAATAGTGATCATTCGACAGGCACTTACTCAGTTTCTATTATGTGTCACTGTGTTAAATCCCTGGACATGTATACACAGGCATTATCTTTGCTGTAGTGGAGCTAACAGTGGGTTCTGAAGACAGACATGAAGAGACAGTCACAACGTAGCATAAAACTGTAATGGCAGGGGACACAGGGGCACAAGCTGCCTATGATACAGCATGAGGCCGTAAGACTGGGCTCAGGAGGACACAGCCTCAGGTTCAGCTAGATGGTTTACTAGTCCTATGGTCTAGTGCTTTTGCTTAATCTCCCCAGTCTTCATCTATGAGATAAGGACATTGATCACTGGCGTCCTATGTTCATGGTAAGAATTTAAGTTATCCTGTAGAGCTGACACATAGCTGGAGCTGAAGAAAATGCTGGCCTTTATTACCACCGTTAAGCACACATATTCCTATTGTTTGTTTTACCCCTCTGCAAAGTCCATTTTCTCAACCCCTGTGTGAAGTCTATGTTGTTCGATAAATTCCCAAAGAGAATTAAGAAAGTACTTTAATATAAATCTGAGCATACTTCAGAGACGGGCTAAGGTTAATATTTTTGCAGGTTGAAAGCATATAATATTTTTAAATGCATATATAAATATTACATCAAACAGCACATGGGAAAAATGAATTTGTCTGTTTTTGTCCATTTACCATATAGGGTTTTCAATTCATTTTGGAAACAGTGGGTTTTTGTTTTGTTTTGGTTTGCTTTTGGTTTTTTAAATTCATGATGCTGGGGCTGAAATTCAGGGTCTTCTTGTTTTAATGATTTTTTTCTGCTTCCTCCTTTTTTATTTAGAATGCATTGTGCGTTATATATTTCATCAATTTATTTTATTTTATTAATTACACTTTATTCACTTTGTATCCTCCCATAAGCCCCTCCCTCCTCACCTCCCGGTCCTACCATCTCTCCCCCTTCTTCACGCACGGCCCTCCCCAAGATTTTTTATTTTTATTTTTTATGTGTGTTTGTGTTTTGCCTGCATGTGTCTGTCTGTGGAAGGGTGTCAGATCCCATGGAACTGGAATCATACAGAGTTGTTAGCTAATATTTTGGTGCCGGGAATTGAACCCAGGTCCTCTGGAAGAGCATCCAGTGCTCTTAATTGCTGATCCATCTGTTTAGCCCTGGAAACAGTCATTTTATGCCATTTTAGTTATTTCTCCAAGGACTCATATTGCAATTGGAATCTTCAAATATTTAGAGTAATCTGTGTTTACTAAAACATAAGCACGTCTCTTCTGTTTGTTTCACGTTTTGATACTCTCACTACATCTTTTCTTTAGATTATAGTCATCTATTATGTTTATTTGTCTTGCTTTTAGTTTTCAAACCAGATTTTACACACACACATACACACACACACACACACACACACACACACACATACACAAGGCTAATTTTGAATTTACTGTGTAGTCCAGACTGGCCTCAAACTCATGGCAATCCTCCTGCCTCAGACTCCCACATGTTTGGATCACAGGCGTGATCTTGCACCCACTTGCACACTCTACTTTCACTGATTTCGTTGATTGATTGCATATACAGACAGCTGCCACAGAGCAACAAGTTAAGCTAAGTGTTAGAACAGACCAAGCAGAGCCATGCCTGAAGACAAGCTTCTTCTCTGAGGCCTTAGACAAACCATCTTCCTGGCATGCTGTCAGATTTATACATATATCATTATTTATCCCGGGAACTGATGACATTCACAACTTTCTTAGGCAAGAGAAATGTAGTTTTAAGCGACAGAATAAAAATATCATTGAAGGTAACTCTCACAGAGTACAGTGACTCTAATTGCAGTGTATTTTTCCATGACAGTCACATCCATTTTTTCCCCCTTGCTAGATTCTCTAATGGTATCTCACAATTACCAGCAAATGAAATTATACTGCAGTGAGGAAGATTCAGGGTAAGAGCGACTTCTGTTTATCTCCAGTGTGTATTATGTCTTCCTTCATCGTGTTAGCATATTAATAAATTAGATTCTTAATTAAGAGAAGCAATAAATTTTCCCTTGGAAGGGCGATGAACTATTTAAGGAATCGTTTCTCATAACACTTCAAACCGACTCTGAAAAACAGGTGAATGCCATCCTCTGAACTCTAAAACGCTTTTGTATTATTTATGACATCCATTAAACCCAAGGTCAAGTCGTACAGTAGCAGACATCTCTCGGGATCAGAGGGGCAAATCTCCACACTGGCTACAGAACTCTTAGTAAAATAAATATGACCATGTTATCTCTGCTTTCTTAAAGATCATCCATGGCTTGCTTCCGCACATGGTAAAGGCAAAGTTCTGACCAGGCTTGCAAGGCTTTGGTAGGACCTTTCACTGTTTCCCTGCAAGCAGGCACATTTCAGCCACCCGTTTCTCGTCACTCTGAAACTCCGCAGGCACCTGGCGATGCTTCACATGTCTTTCCTTCTTGATTGGCAGGTCCATTGTCAAATCCTTTGCCTCATCATCTCAGATCCATTCCTCTCTCTCAAACATAATTCTATACGGTTCTATCACAGAATTTAGGATCGTAGAGAAAGCAAAATTAAGAATAAGAGCTCTTGTCATTTGCTTGTGCTTTTGTTGTTAATGGCAAAGAAAAAGAAAAGAAAAGAAAAGAACTTGGCAGAGGTTTCAAACATTTATTTTTCAACTTTGAATTAATTTTTTAGTGTTTTTTTCTAATGAACCCTTAAGTTATACTTAAGATATATATATGTATATGTATATATATTTATATACATATATATATGTATATTTTTTTTTCCAAAAACCAGCTTTGACTGGGAGAAGTTTCTAAGGACTGAGACTTTATCTCACACATTCAGTCGTTCATTTAACCGTAGATTTTGAGCACTGGCTAAGTGTCCAATGTTACACAGGTCCTTGATGTCTAGAAGAAAAACTGTCGCAATGCTTG